TTTTTTTGGGGGGAGAGATTTTCACTGTAGGGCGCGTGCGCTCACCAGACAGACAGAGAGAGACATAGAGACAGAAAGCGAGAAATCACCCCCCAGGGGGGATGGTCACGCCGCAATCCCTTCTCCTCCATTCTCCTCTTGGGATCTTGGGCACGCACGCACACGCGCCCGGCGTGAGTTTTAAGCCACCGGGTCCGGGACACGAACCGCGGTCGACTACGTGGGAGTCCAGCGACATAGCCATTACGCTAACTGCTGGTTCCTGAGAAGCTTCTCTTTTTATAGATGCTGAAATAGTACTAGATGGCTTAAACAATTGCCCAGATTTGCCCAGCTGGTGTCAGAGCTCCTAGATTAGTTTCAGAACTTGGATCATGGAGTGAGCCTCTCCGGCCCACTTTCGAGTACATGGTCTGAACTATAATCATCGTTCTGATTAACAAGGGCCTTGCCTGAGAGCCTTACCAACCCAGAGACAGGACAGAGATAAAGCCAAACTGACAAGGGCCTTTAAGTGCCTTGCAAATCCTACATATCTTGCTCTGCTCTACACAATTTAGGCAGATCTGCAGACACAGCTTTGTCAAGGACTAGGATTTTCCAGACAGATATAGGAACAAGTCTATTATCTTCAGTCCCCTCACCACTGTCCTGACCCATCCTTTCCCTGCTATGGTCCAGTCAGACAATACCATGGGTCTCCAGACATATTACACCTTCTTTCTTTTCAGAGCCTTCACTTACACTCTCTCTGCCCAAAACATTTGTCTCCTTCTCCTCACCTCTTCGTCCTCCACACTTTTCTTCTGGCTAGCTGCTTTTCACAGTTAAAGTATTAGTGTAGACTTCCATTTCTTCCAGGAAATCTTCTCTTGTCTCCACACTATATCAGGGGATCTCCTATGGGCCCCTCTGTGCCCTTTACTGCCCCATGATAGTACTTACTACACCACGTTGTGACTGCCTGTGTTCCCTGCAAAAATATAAATTCTGTGAGAGCATGGGCTTTATTTCATTCCTCATAACTCCCATATACCTAGCTCAAGGCCTAGGATGTAGCTGATGTTCAATAAGTATTTGCTGAGGAAGTGAATGAGTGAATTAATGGGTCATAGAGTTGTTACTTCTTACCCATTTGCCCAGCTGCTAAAAAAACACCGTCAGTTTCTGTAACATATGCTCCTCTGCCCTTGGTTGTTTGTGAGGATGTACTCTCTGGCATCCCCCATTGATATGGGAATACATGCAGAAGCCTTCAACCTGTATGCCTGAATTCTCTCTACTCCTGCCCACCACCCATGTTCCTCTACCACCCTCCTTTTGTGGGGTCACAGTGTCCTTCATAGCTCAGCTTCAGACATGGGTTCATTTCTGTTGTTTCTGGGGACCTTGGAGCCCTAGAAGGTGCAGTCTCTTGGCACTACGAGGATCACGAATACTAAATGGACATGCCCCTCACTGTGCTGTAGTCAGGTGCTGTTCTGTGATGTTTTGAGCCACTTTGTCTTCCAGCTTACATCTAGAGTTGTGTACTAAATACATGAACTTTAGAAAGGAATCCGAAGGACTATACCCCTTTCCTTTGACAAGCCTGTAAGCCCTCCAGTGATGTATTTCATTCCTCCTTAAAGCCTCTCATTTTACAGATGCTGAAAGGGTACTAGAGAGTTCCAAGAACAGCAGGGTTTGGAACTGTGTCAGTGTTTGGGAAGGGGTGATAAGGTCAGCCCCTCGGTCTGTAAAGGCTCACGGTTGACATAAATACTGTCCTGAGCTTTGGACCACAGTTCAAGACCATGAAAAGTGCCATGATACTCAGAAGCTATACACCCTTCCCTGGTGTGGGTGCCTATTCACCGTATAACGATGGCCTATTTTTATTAGGGGAGTTTGTTTGGTCTGAGTGTTCTCTCCTTAAAAAGGAAGGCCTGTTACCCTAAGACCATCTCATAGAGCTGGTGTGTATAAAGAAAAAAGAGCAAAATGTATTCTCTTCACTATTTCTTAATTAGAGAAGTTAATGAGACCATGAGGACAATAAGAGGGTATATGGGGCCAGCAGGTGGCATAGTGGTTAAGACGCTAGACACTCCCACATGGCTGACCAGGGTTTAGGCCTCAGATCTTGCTTGCTTTCTCATTTTCCCTCTTTCTCTCTGTCTCTCTGTTTCTCTTTTGTGAAATTAAAATAAATGAACAAATAAATTAAATTAAATAAATAATTCTTTTAAAAAGAGGTACATGAAGGTGATGAAGAGTAAAAGGGGAAGCAGCTGAAGAGAGAGAAGAAATGGGAAAGAGGAAAAATAGACATTCATGGAGTGCCAACTGTCAGGCTCTGCCCTAAGCACAAGCCTGACTCTATCAGCCTCTGTGTATTGAGCACTTAGTTGTGTCAGGCACTTAGCTAAGAGCATCATGTTTATTTCACTCAATGCTCAACACAAATAAGATAAGCAGCCATAATTATACATTCTCTAACAGAATCAGTAAGTCTCAGACAGGTTAAGTAATCTGCCAAAGATAGGTGACAAAGCCAGTCTCAAGCTTAGTCTTGCCTGACTCCAGAGTCTATATATGGTTTCTAAAATTCTAAGCTGAATTCATACTGCATAGCCTCCAAAAATTATATGATTCTTGCCTCAAAGGAGGGGTTAATGAGAACAGAGAGGTTTAAGACAGTACCTGAGGGTGGTAGGATAATAGGTCTACAGAGAGTTGTTGCCTCTGAGACCAGCGGTTGGCATTAACAGTTACCTCACTGGATTCCCATGTAGTCGACCGCTGTTCGAGTCCTGAACCCAGCAACTTAAAACTCACACTGGGCACATGTGCATGCATGCCCAAGATCCTAAGAGGAGAATGGAAGAAAAGGGATTGCAGATGATTGCTTTCTATCTCTGTCTCTGTCTCTCTGGCAAGCATATGTACCCTATAACAAAAAATCTCTCTAAAAATAATTTAAAAAAAAAAAAAAAAAAAAAGCTGTTGTAGCCCTAGATCCACTGATCATAGTTGAGATAGATACAGTGAGCTCCCTTGCGGGCCCAGGGTGTGAGGCCCAGTGCACACCTCCATCCTTACCTCACTACTTGCTTTTCAGGAGTCTGCACATGTCTGGAAACTCTTCTGGTTTCTCCTGGAGGAGCTGCCCTCATTTCCCCTCCCCTGCTGTTCTTGGCTCACACCCAGGCCCAGGACCTTGCCACTCTCCCTCTCCTTTGCACCTTTTCAGCCCCTAGAGTCAGAATATCGAAATACATTGTTCCATTTACCTAAATACAGGAGAAAACCCTGAATCTTTTTCTCTTCTCTTGATCCCTCCTCTCCAAGCCCACGTTATTGCTTTGCTGTGATTTTGGGACTGGAATTAGCAAGTCAGCTGCCAAAGGCAACTCTGGCCAACACCATATCCTTGGGATCCTCTCAAGATTTCTCTACCAGGCACTTAAAATCCCTGGGACAAGCTGTGATGGCATGCCACTCCCTTCCTGCCCCTTTCCTGTTCTGCTCCAGCCTCTGTCTTTTCTTGAGCTCTCACTAGAGTACAAACTAGTCTTCTCTCCAGCTCTTGCCAAGGGAAACTGTCTTCTTATTATTTAGCTCTATTTGCCCTCTGTGGATAATGCTCCTCCCAGTCATTCCTCTTCATTTTTATCTCCTTTTGTTTATTTCTTTTAATCTACCAATTTACTGTCTAAGGGCCTTTTGTTTCCTGAGTCCTGGATACTTACTACATTCCCTTCACTATGCACAGTTCAGATGTGCTCTGAAAAGACAGGCCTCCTCCACCTGCACGGGCACGGCCTGGAACCCCAGTTGTTTCTGTGCAATTTCATCTCTTGCCCGTGCTTCCCTACGAAGCTGAGCTGCGGTGGGCCGTGTAATGTGAGAAGGACCTCTTAACCACTTTGAGTGGCTATAATGAGTTGCCAGCCTCGTGGGAACTCAGATCAGAGGAAGCAAGAGAGCAAAATGTCAACCCAGATTATCCATGTGGAGCTGACGGAAGAACTGGCTCTTAGTGGGTCCATTAACTACATGACCCACAGCCCAGCCCAGAAGGTAAGAGCTGGGAATCAAGGGAGGCCATGGCACCGCCTGCATGGGCCTGGCTGCTTTCCTTACAGGGGAAGATTCTGCCAAGACACTACGCTAAATAGAAGTAGCCAGAAAAGAGGGGAATGTGTCCCTCTGTCCATTCAACAGCTTTTTTTTTTTTTTTTTGAGATGTTTTTGCTATAGGGCGTGTACGCTCGCCAGACAGACAGAAAGAGACAGAGAGATAGAAAGCGAGAAATCACCCCCCAGAGGGGATGGCCATGCTGCAATCCCTTCTCCTCCATTCTCCTCTCAGGATCTTGGGCATGCATGCCGCACACGCACCGTATGTGAGTTTAAGCCACCGGATCCAGGACTCGAACCGCCATCGACTGCATGGGAGTTCAGCAACATAGCCATTACACTAACTGCTGTTCCCTCAACAGTTATGTACTGAACACTGCGCTAGGCACTGGTGATAACCTGCTTAACAAGAGTCTCTGCCTTTACAGGGCTTACATCTAGTGATTTAAGCTACTTCCAGGTAATCAAACCCCTAATAATAGCAGTTCTAGCTCTCTGCAAATTGCCAAGGTTCCTGATGATCATAAAAGCAGCAAACATCAATAATGAATTTTGTAAAAGACTCATGTTGAAAAGAGAAATGGATACAGAATGGCCTCTTTTATTCCTTCTCCCAAACAAAAGTAGCAGAGAGGGAAATGCATTGCTACAATATCCTGCCTTTTTGAAAAGCCAAGGGCAGTAGGGTATTATCCTACACCCAGGTTGTAGTTAGTTATCTTATGAGACAGACTTTAAACATCTCCGGATGCCAAGGAATCCTCAGTCTGTGTTCTCTAATTCAACAGTTGTTAGCCTGTGTTACTCGAAGATGGAATATACCCTAGCCACCCTGCCTTTTGTCTACTTGTGAAATTTCTACTTGTCAATACTTACCCTGGAAAGGCTGCCTCTGTTCTACTCTCCTGCTAGAGGAAAGCTGGCACATGACCCAAACCCATACCACCCATTGCAATCAGCCTTTTCTACTTAAGCAGGGTGGGGCTTTGTCCCCACCACACTTAGGTGCAGTCACTCCTGCCTATTGGCATGCCAGAAGCACGGCTCAGAACTTTGGCACCCTGCTTTAGAGACAGCCTTTCCAGGGAAGCCCAGAAATGGCATCTGAAGCTGGAACGAGTCCTCCCTTCGCAGCTGGTTCCATGGGGAGCTTATTTCAGAAAATCTCATCACTCTTTACTCTCCAAACTTATATTCACAAGCTTTTAGGCTGCTTCCACCCAAGGCTACAATCTGTCTAGTTATTTAAATTGGATAAAACAAGTTATGTTTGACACTTCTTCTCATTAGGGTTTTCTTGTTCTGTGTTCTCTGTTTCAGCATTGGTTGGAGTTTACAAAGTCTGTGGTGAAGCAATTGAGATGTGAGTATTCTCTCCTTGAAAAAACTGAAGCCTCACCCCGGGAAGGGTGGGATGAAACCTTCTACGTATAGTAAGTCTTGGTCTCCCTGTGTAATTTTCCACTCTTCTGAGTTGAAGTTGGCCCTGAGTGCATGAGGATTTTCTTATGTTGGCTCAGTGGCGTGTGCATGCTGCTGGGCCGTGCAGCCCTGTCATCTTCTGGGAGAGCGACTTCTCTGATGGCACCTCTTTCCCTCTGCAGCCCAGCCTCCCTTCACCATGTGCTTCCGTGTGAAGTTCTACCCTGCAGACCCTGCTGCCCTGAAAGAAGAAATAACCAGGTGAGCCTGAACACACTCCCCGTTGGCCACTAAGACCTATTGGAGGTGATACGAAAGGGAGGCTTTGACCTCTTAGATCCTCTAATTTGGAAGCACCTAGCTCTCATAGGCAAGAAACTTCTAAATAGACCTTCTATACTTCATTTCCAAATGCTTTCTTTGCTCCTCCCTCATTGGGATTGGAACAGAGGGAGTTTCTTTTCTTTAAGAAATGTGGATTCTTCACCTCACTCTCAGGGGAATCTGGAGTATCTAATTAATCAAAAGCATTTTGGAGGCTGGCCCCCCCTTTGTGCAGTGGTCAAATGGAAAGCTGGATCTCACATGGCTGACTGTGATTTGAATCCTGGTCCTGGCAGCTTGAAAAACACACCAGGCACACGGATGTACATGTTCAAAGTCCTGACAAGATGGAGAACTAGAAGAAAGAGGATTGCGACATGACTTGCCCCATTTGGGGTGGCAGGGGGAGTCTCTCTTTTTCTCTATCTCTGACAAGTACAGACACACCCATTAGCAATTTTTTAAAGAATTATTTAGAGGCCAGAAGGTGGCATAGTAGTTAAGGGGCTGGACTCCCACATAGATGACCACGTTCAAGTCCTAGACCAGCAGCTTAAAACGCACACCAGGTGTGTATACGTTTGTGCCCAAAATCCTGAGAGGAGAATAGAGGAGAAGGTATTATGACATGGCCATCCCTCCTGGGAAATGATATCACACTCTCTGTCTCTCTGTCCCTCTCTATCTGGTGGCAAAATCTCTAAAAATGCCAAAAATAGGTTACTTATTTAGTTTTACTTGTTATTATTATTATTTATTTTTTAATTTGACCAGAGAGAGAAAGAAAGGGAAAATGAGAAAGCAAGCTGCCAGGTCCAGGACTCAAACTCAGTCAGTCATGTGGGAGTCCAGCACCCCAACCACCACGCCACCCATCAGCCCCCCACTAGCAATATTTTAAAAAGCATTTTTTTCTTGACCCTATTATGTGACCACTGTGGACACTTTTGGAGAAGGCTGTGTTGCTGCTCATTTGGGGGAAGGGAAAAAGACTCCAGTGGCCTAATGGACGTACTTGGGAAACACCCAGGCATGGCACTGAAATACAACCTGGGAAAGACTGAAGATTTTAAATCCAAGTGTATTAAGTCTGATGTGCTGTTGGATCAGGTCCATGAGAAACTCTTAATTGTGGGGATCATGTTCCGTGCAGGCAGACAGCTGCGTGGAACGAATCCCATCCCTTCCAGTACCACCTGAGGAAGAGAAAGAACCTCTGTGCCCATAAGCGTCCTACAACAGCATCGATGAGTAGAAGCTTCAAAGCTTCCCGAGGGTTTTGTTTGTCTGAGCCAAATTCACTCTGAAATCTCACCTCAAAGATTCAGGAACTTTCCATAACAGGATTCCTAATCTTTATATTACAAAGACCTAGTTTTGATATAAGCAAAATCTTGGTATTACTTTGTAGAGGACGGGGCCATAAGTCAAGAGGTGATGCCAGGGAATCCTAGAGCTGAAGAAGAGACAGCACTGACAGCTCTAACCCCATCCTTAAAACCTTGGAGATAGGAATGAGGCTGTTGCCAGTCATATGGACTGTTCAGTATAGCTGTGAGATCTACTACTAGATTTCGACCTGCTTGGGAAAATCACAAAGAGAAGAGAGAAGAAAGAGAAATATGCAATTATTTTCATTTTCTGTTCTGAAGAGTATGCCACTAACCTTGTAGTGAATGGAGCAACCGTTTCTCTAAGAAGAGAAGTCAAGAAATGGGGAAAGGGGCTAGCAGGCGACATGGTGGTTGAGATGCTGGACTCACACATGGCTGACCACAGTTTGAATCCCAGACCTGGTGGCTTGCTTTCTTCCCCTCCCTCCCTCTGTGTGTGTGTGTGTCTAGTCGAATAAGAAATCTTAAAAAATAAAAGAAATTAGGAAGGAGGAGGGCAAGAAACAGGAATAGGAATAAGCAGTGCAAAGGAAGCAAGGAAGTAGGACAGGGAAGGAAAGTGACTTCTTTGTGTGCATCTCAGGCGGTGTCAAAGGGAGTCTTCCGATGGAGTCAGAAAGAGCTGGACATATTTCTTGCACATGCACAGAGCAGTGTGCACCCACCTTCTTTGAAGCACTGAGAATAGTGAGGTGTGTATCTTGAACCAAACTTCATGTTCCTTACTGGGCACTGAAACTGTAGGCTCTGCCCATCCCCATGGAAGTGAGCATTCCTCCCACTTTGCTTCTGAAATCCAAACCCATCTGTGTTAATAGTGACCCTATAGCTTTAGGCAGATGAGTGGGGATACCATTCTGTTTAACAACTTCAACAGAGAGAAGTTTCTTCAAAGCACTGTTCTGCCCTCCAGAGTGCTTGCTTTAGCTCTGAGCCTCTCTCTCTCTGTGTTTAAAGAGGTGCCAGTGCCAAAGCTGGCCCAGAATTCTATGCTCCTGTCCACGAATCTGAACAAACTTAACACATCTTCGTGGAGAGCCTAACACCTCGCTGCATAACACCCGCCATCAAGATGGCCTGTTGTTCTCTTACTGACCTAACAGTGGGGATGAGAAAATCTGTCTGTTACAATTCAGTGAGAGATCCATAGACACATGGCTTCCTGATTTATAAAGGACAAAGAGGGGCCAGCAGGTGGCATGGTGGTTAAGGGCGCTGGACTCCCACATAGCCAACTGTGGTTCAAGAAATGGGGAAAGGGGCTAGCAGGCGACATGGTGGTTGAGATGCTGGACTCACACATGGCTGACCACAGTTTGAATCCCAGACCTGGTGGCTTGCTTTCTTCCCCTCCCTCCCTCTGTGTGTGTGTGTGTCTAGTCGAATAAGAAATCTTAAAAAATAAAAGAAATTAGGAAGGAGGAGGGCAAGAAACAGGAATAGGAATAAGCAGTGCAAAGGAAGCAAGGAAGTAGGACAGGGAAGGAAAGTGACTTCTTTGTGTGCATCTCAGGCGGTGTCAAAGGGAGTCTTCCGATGGAGTCAGAAAGAGCTGGACATATTTCTTGCACATGCACAGAGCAGTGTGCACCCACCTTCTTTGAAGCACTGAGAATAGTGAGGTGTGTATCTTGAACCAAACTTCATGTTCCTTACTGGGCACTGAAACTGTAGGCTCTGCCCATCCCCATGGAAGTGAGCATTCCTCCCACTTTGCTTCTGAAATCCAAACCCATCTGTGTTAATAGTGACCCTATAGCTTTAGGCAGATGAGTGGGGATACCATTCTGTTTAACAACTTCAACAGAGAGAAGTTTCTTCAAAGCACTGTTCTGCCCTCCAGAGTGCTTGCTTTAGCTCTGAGCCTCTCTCTCTCTGTGTTTAAAGAGGTGCCAGTGCCAAAGCTGGCCCAGAATTCTATGCTCCTGTCCACGAATCTGAACAAACTTAACACATCTTCGTGGAGAGCCTAACACCTCGCTGCATAACACCCGCCATCAAGATGGCCTGTTGTTCTCTTACTGACCTAACAGTGGGGATGAGAAAATCTGTCTGTTACAATTCAGTGAGAGATCCATAGACACATGGCTTCCTGATTTATAAAGGACAAAGAGGGGCCAGCAGGTGGCATGGTGGTTAAGGGCGCTGGACTCCCACATAGCCAACTGTGGTTTGAGTCCTGGACCTGGCGGCCTGCCTTCTCTCTCTCTCTCTCTCTCTCTCTCTCTCTCTCTGGCTCTGTCCCTCTCTGGTCAAATTAAAATAAATAAATGAATAAATAAAATTAAATAATTCTTTAAAAAAAAGGACAAAGAGAGATGGCATCTTGGCCAGCCAGGTGGTGCAACAGTAACACAAAGTCCTGCGTTGCTGAAGCCACATGGGGAAGTCCCGGGTTCTTGTACCAAGGACCCCTTGCACACACCAAGCACACCCAGCATGACTGGGATGCTGGCTTGCTGAGGCAGGGGTAGACTGTAGCATGAAAACCCTGTTGGGATATCTCTCGCTCTTTCTCTGGCTGTCTCTCTCTTTGATGGAAGAAGTGAATAAATGTTATATATCATATATGTGCGTATATATGCACACATGTACTTTTTAAAATTTGTGTGTGTGTGTGTGTGTGTGTAGTATCTTGGCCCTTAGGAAGAGCCCCCCCTCCTTTTTTTAAGAGAGATTTTTACTATAGGGCATGTGTGCTCACCAGAGAGACAGAGAGACAGAAAGCAAGAAATCACCCCCAGGAGGGATAGCTATGTCGCAATCCCTTCTCCTCCCTTCTCTTCTCAGGATTTTGGATAGTCAAGCACATGTTCCCAGCGTGAGTTTCAAGTCTCTGGGTCCAGGACTCGAACTGTGATTGACCATGTGGGAGTCTGGCAATGTAACCATTATGCCATCTGCTGGTCCCAGGAGGAACTCTTAATGATATGACTTTCTAAATCAAATGTCATTATATTATATTCATGTACAGACCCTCCTACCCAAAAAAGCAAAGACCTGGAAACTCAGATCCTACTTAGTCACTTCTTGGCTATATGACCTTGGACGTGAAATATTAGGTTGTTGGAAAAATCGTGATTTTTTTTTGTATAGAAAAATACACCATAGCTTTTCTGACAACCCATAATTTAACATCTCTTAACCTTCAGATTACTCTTTCTTTAAAAAAGAGAGATTTTTACTATAGGGTGTTTGTGCTTGCTGGAGAGACAGAGAGACGAAAAGCAAAAAGTCACTCCCCCAGGGGTGGATGGCCTTCCCAAATCCATTCTTTCTCATTCTCCTCTTGGGATCTTGGGCATGCACACACATGCACTAGCATGGGTTGTAAGCCACCAGGTCTGAGATTTGAACCAGGATTGACTATGAGGGAGTCCAGCAATGTAACCATTACACCATGTACTAGTCCCCAGATTACTTGTTTATAAAATGAGGATAATATCTACCCCATTGAATTGTTGAGAGGACTAATCACAATATTAGGGTCTTATACTTCTTGCTGCACCCCCACTGTCACGTGCTCAGCCAAGGCTCATCGCG